TTAATCATTTTATTTATATAATTTTTCCTGTTTCGTAATTATTATTTTGCTAGTGAATCTGTGCCAAATGCTTGCTTTAAGCTTTTTAAAATCGTGTAGGCTTGTAGTATTTTTCTGACTCAGCTGCTATAATAAAGAGAGATTATAATACTAGTTTTTAATCGGTTAAAAATGCTAAAATTAATTATGGCGATTTTTCTTGTGTTAAGAGACGTAAATAAATAAAAAAGTATAAGTTCTTGTCAAGATAGCATCGGATTGTTTGTGAATTTTACAATTGTTTTAGTACTGAGGAAATTCGATAGTTTAGCAAAGCCGAAAATAGCAAAAAGTGTTCTTATTGTGTAGAAGAAACAAAAGATTTTTCAAAGCGTCTTGAGTAAGTTACAGATGGTAAAAGAGTTAAATTACTAGAAAGGAAGGAAGGTCGAAAAAATAAAGTTTGGAAAGCTAAACAACTGTTTATCTCAGCCTAATCACACGGAACGCCAAGACACTTGGCACCGTCGACTTGAAGTGTAATGGGCCGCTGAGAGTAAATACTCTAGTGATGAATGGACGCAAGTGTGGTTCTCTACTGGCTCTTCTAATCTCCAAACTGATTGACAAATGATATTTTTAAATGCTAGGTAATGTGACCATCTCAGTTTAGTACTTGCTTTCTACTTAAATGCCTTAGAAATGATTTGTGGTTGGATCATTCCGCATTATTGCCTTTGGTATCCTTCGTGGCTTTAATAAATCCTTTATTTAATCATGCACGTAGATAGGTTATCATTTTAAAACGAATAATGTATAATAGAAATAGACGTTTATTTTTATTATTATTATTATTTTTTTTTTTTACTATTTTTAAAAGATTGTTTTATAATAATTTCGTATGGACGAAGTCTGAAATGCCGAGAGTTAACACGAATAAAAATTAAAAAAAAATGATACGGGAGTGTAGCCATTTTTATAGCTAATGTGGCTCATTTTAAAATTTGACGGGATCAACTTTCACTATTTCTCCTTGACTCGGACTTATAAAGTTAAACCAACATAAAAAAATAATTATTCCTCGGAAACGATTAAAATTTAAGAAGCTATTCCTAGAAGATAGCTTAACAATAAGAAAAAACGATAAATTTATCAAAGAACAATGGCAATTTTGAAAAATTTATGATTATCCGATTAAGCTGTAAGAAAATATAAATTACGAGCGTGTCGTGACACAACCTATATTTAATAAATAAAAATCGGGTAGAAAGGAGCCCCGGGGCTTACATAATACCTCTCTTTAAGATATTATTAAGTTAGATGTAGAGGAAAAGGCAAAATTTTTGAAACAGTGCAAATATGAAATCGCTTCTCGAAGCTAGAGCGAGAGAGAGAGAGAGAGAGAGACAATTCAATATGTCTGTCTCATTACTTGACCAAACGATGTGTCAAATATTGAATAAAGCAGAGATAACAGCTCGGAGCTATGACAACGGGTCATCAAAGAGCCAGAGAATCGTGCTTGGCAAACACAATCATTGTCCACCTTTAACATTACATCTGTTTGCAGTGGACCAACCTGGGGCTTCTAGCTGCCTTTGTTTAACGTTATTAGCCTTGGGTAATTTTACTCTAGCATAAACCTTCAATATTGAAATTTTCTACACATATTTTAAACAAATATATAACTCGTATTCTTTTATTTACAATAATAAAAATGTTTAAACAATAATAATAATAATACTCTTATATGGAAACCCAGGGAAGAAAAAATTAACCAATTTATTTCATTATTATAAACAGGTTTTTACAAATCAAATTGACAAAAACTCAATGTATTTTTATCTTGTCAAAAATGTCCAAATGATGAAATGTTCCGTTGTATTATTATCAAAAGTCTTGTCATAGTTCGTCATGGAAGGATAATGTTATTCTTTTGTTATGAGGCTTTACCTTAGTGAGATTGTCACTCATACAAAGAAGCGAGATGTTCATTCTCTCTTCAATTTTCACTTTATTCAATTTTAACCTTCTAACTTTTACTATTATTATTTTTTAACCCCATTTTTTTTTTACGGAAATAAATAAATAAAAAAAATCCTAACAACTTCTCCACTTAATTGCAATCTCCTTTTCTAAATTAATTAATTAACTTTAATGAGCAATAAAATTCTTGCTAAAATCGAAAATTGTAATTAAAAATTTAAGTAATTATTTCTTTTTTTTTTTTTTAAATTTTCTTCTTAATTTTATTTCAGTATATATAATTGTAAAAGGGGGAGAGGAAGTTTATATAATTTCTATCTAATTTATCATTCATGTAAAATTTATTATCAATTGTTTGTAAAAATCGGGTTATAATTTTTTTTTTCTCTTATTTATAAACTTAATAAATTTTATATCTGAATTATAAATATATAAATTGAATATACTAGAAATTAATTTTATGGGGTTGAGTCTATCTAGACATATTTATGAATTCATTGTATCTTATATAGGCTTATATATAGGCTATATATATAGTTTTGTGTACTCAATTTACTATTTAGTCTATAAATTTTATTGTATAAAAAAATAATAAAATAGTATTAAAGATTATATTTTTAAATAATAAAATTTAACAAAAATAACGATTTTTTTTCCTTAAAACACACGAAAAACAATGGAATGGGTATTTTAAACAAAAATATTTGTGAGGTCTCAGTAAATGAGAGGCCCTACTAGCTTCTTGTGATAAGAGCTGATAAATATTTCTTAATTTTTAACTTGCTAGTTGTTAGATTCAAAAAAGGCCATCAAAATGTATTGTTTTAAAAACTCTTTTCGCCCGTGGGTACTAAGAGCCGACGTCCTTTTTAGCAAGCCCATTACGGGTTCGGCCAGGCCCACAATGGTACGACTGGGTGAGGGGGACGGGGCCCGATTCGATACAGGTCTCCAGAGCGAGCCAGAATGTATTACAATTAATTGAAAACTGAAAGTAAAAAAGCTTACTAAAAAGCTTTTTGTACTAATAAATATGCAGCAAATAGTTGTGTAATTTTCTGTCAAACTTTAAAATTGTGTGTAATCCCATCTGTTATGAGATTTTATTTTAAAAACTTGTATATTATTAATTATTATAAAAAGGCAAAAAGCTTAATTTTAAGGGTAGAGATAAGTTTTAAAAAAAATTGCAAATGCTAATAACGAATAAAATCTTTATTTAGTCCGTCTCCACTCCGATATATGACAACTGACCCCCCCCCGATATCTTCCTACCTCTTGATCTTTAATCAACAAAATTTAGCAGCATCAATGCCTCTAATATGTGTATTACAGGCATTCTCTCTGCAAACCTCTCTGCAAAATTTCAGAAATTTTAGACAAAAGACACAGGAGTTATTAGGCTTTAAAATGGGTGAACAAAATCGTGCCCCCCACACTAAAATCCATACACACAGGAAAAAAATCTTTGTTTTTTTTCTTTTTTAAAGCATTTCTCGACGTTTCAAGGTGCCCTGAGTTCAAATATATAAATCTTTAAGGTGTCATCTTTTAACTGATCGCCATACTTTCCCTCTGTTTCAACACGGGGAAATAAAAAGTTGTCAAATATCTTTATCCGGTTGTTCGATAATAACTTAAATATCGAAAACAGTAATAAAAGTTTAAGGCTTTAAGGATTTCAAGAAAACAACTTCAAACAAATTGGAAGATGTAATTATCAAATACTGTAACTACTATGTATGATTTTTTAGAATTTTTAGATTATATAACAAATATCATTGAACAGATCAAATTTTTATAATTGCTAAATTATTTTCATAATAATTTAAGATTTTGTAACATTTTAAATTGGAACTTTGTTATTCTAATTATTCTATTTCAAACGTTTTCAATCATTTCATTTGAGAAGAATTGCAGGATACGGTATAAGAAAGACCGTAAACTCAATGATGAAGTACTTTAGCAGCTACAAATAAGAGCAAAGATTGACTAATATACAGCTATCATAGAATAGAAAACTAGGAAAATACTCAAATATCAATTAAAAGGATCTATCTAGACCAGGGATGGCGAACCTTTGGCACGCTTGCCCAAAGTTGCACTTAAGGATAAATCATCTGGCACGTAACTTATCATAAGATTTCGATTTATCATCTGACGTTTTCAATCACTCGATTATCCTATTTCAATCATGGTTTTTACATTTATTCTAATTAAATCATATTCGTTTAATTTATTTAAATATCGTTATCCGAAGTCTTTGTTATGCATAAACATCTTTCAAGCTTATTATATGGCTCATGGGCTCAAAAAGGTTCGCCATTCCTGATCTAGAACAATGGTCATTCGTATGAAACGATGAAAAGAAAATTCTGCAAGACCTTAAAGGGCCTTTGGCTCAAATACAGTACTTAGAAGAATAATGTTGTTGATAACGATGAATTATCTTCTAATTCAGTTTTATGACTCGGTAAAAAATGCACGTATTTAATAAATACATTTTGAAAAATATAGAAGTTGGCCCAAAAGACAACATTGTAAGAATTTTTTCAATTTTGTAAATGTAGGTTGATCAAAAGTCTGTTAACCGTATATTTCGCAAATAATTCGTGAGTAATAAAATATTCGAATAAAGTAGCAATTTATTTTATAATGTTAACTGATTTTCGGGCCACTCTGTATTTTTAAAATTACAATTAAAAAATGAAAACATAAGAAATAATAGCTGAAACGTTTATATTAAATTTTTTTCTTTTTTATTTTTCTCTAAATTTCTCTCCACGAATATTTTGATATTTTACTTTATATATATTACACTATTAAAAAGCTTTATTATAATTAAAAAACGTTTAATTACTTTAAAATTTTTCACGAAATATTTAATTTTTTTTTATTTATAAAATTTGGCTTTTAAATAGTGGAATATATAAAACTAATTTTAAAATATGACTTTGACAGTAACATAGTAGTTGACAATGCTTGATGGTCTTCTTGAAAGGAAAATATTTATAAAATATAAATTCAGTCCATTGTTCTCACTATTACTGCCATTATGTTTTTTTTCTTTTCGATGGTGTGACGTGCTTAAAAAGCAAAATATTTCACATTTACAAAAAGTGGTCGACCACGTGGATGACACCATTGGTGGTGCTGATGTCTGGGAATGCGACATTAACTCCATCGATGGCAATGCAAGCTGTTGGAAAGAATTTTATAATTATATATTGCTTTAAATAGGAATTTTTTAAAGAATGAAGCTTAACTCACTTGGCTTGAGTGTTACTGTTAAATCATCACCTGCTTCTGATCTTAGTGTCATTCCTTCTGAAACACCGCTTGTATATATTGTACGCCCTCTTACTAAATGACGTTTTAGCAGATCTAAAAATTTAGAAAATTATAATAAATTCAACAATATATAAATTTTTTTTTAATTATTTCAAAGGTAATTACTTATGAGTGATTGAGGATTGTTCAGAAGTCTTTGCCTTTCTTCTAAAGATAAATTCTCGAATGCTTTATCACTTGGAGCAAAGAATGTGAAAGGTCCTTCACCTAATGATTAAAAAATATTCAACGCATATTTTCTTTACTTTTTTGGGTGCAAAAACATAAAATTTTTGTTAGAATTTCAAATCCCAACCTCTTAAATCTTCATCTAAAGCTACCCTTTCTACAGCTTTCTTCAAATCTCCAAGTATTGGTAATTTCGTTAGAGTGGTAAACGTGTCTCCTTGAGGAGGGAAGAGGACCCTATCTACTACAGCTATCAAAACATTTCCAGGATTATTACTGGGTGCAAAAGGTGCACCGCTAGCTGTATACACCTGAAAATAAATATTAATTACAAATTTATTATATATCAAAATGTAATGGGAATTAATTTACAGCATATTGAAACTCAGATAAACATACTCGTCCATTTTGATAAATATTAAATCTGATTTCCTTTCCCTCTAGTAGTGTTTTTACTCTTTTTTCGTTTTCTATCTGACCTGTCTGAATGTAAAGTGGTATAATATGATATTTTAAGATGATTCTCAACTGATCTGGATCTTTCTCAATTGCTTCAAGTCCTGGCAAAGAATCTATAGCTTCGTCAGTAGGAGCAAAGATCGTGTATCGATCTATAAAATAAAAGAATATTCAGTAAAAATGAAAGAGAAATTTATCAAAATGGCATGACAATTTGAAAAAGTTCTTACTTCCATCTTGAACAACTTTGATTAAGTCTGTTTGGATGAGCCAATGTACAAATTTATTGAGACCCATTCCTTTAGCTAATTCCACTACATTGGAGCTAATCAAATCACCACTTGGAGGAACTAATTATAGAAAATTCCATGAAATTAATTAGATTTTCGTCACGAAACAACAATGTATTAAGATATTATTAATGTGTATTTTTATGAATTTCCATTAGAAATTTTTAAAGATGTTTTTAACGCTTCTCTTGACTCACCCACAATTACACTTTGTACAGGTTCTCTATCGTCAGTTATTATTTCCTGTGAAGGGGAAGTTATGACTTTATCAATGATGTGAACAACTCCTGTTCCTGTCGTGATATCACCCTCAATTATGTTTGCATCATTTACTGTTATTCTGTCTCCTAAGAAGTCGGAAATATAATTTTTGGGATTTTTATAATGTGTTTNAATTTTTTTTTTTGAATTTCAAAAAATAAGATAGAGGATTTATAATGTAGTACAGACCGAATCAATCCCCTTGTGGGCAATTTTGATAAGTATTGATAGCGTGACAAGAGAAGTTGTGTGTCGGTAGATGCGATCTTTCCTGACCCACATTCCTTCTATCCTGCGTGATCTATGAGGGTAGCCATTATTCTTTGTCCATCAATCATCTTGATGCCTTCTAATACGGACGTACGTACATGTTAGTATAGTTGTACAGTGACGTTTGCGTGATATTCAATAATTAAGTACACAACCGTAGGAAGAAAAAAAAAGAAAAAAGACTAGCTATCACGCGTGACGGAGCGTTCTCTTCACGAAGAGGAAGTACCCCGTTAATAATCCTGGCATGATGATTCATTGCACAGACACAACATTGTAATTAATTATCCCAGTTAATAATATAAGCTGCACTTAATCATTAAACTGCTCACTGACAGCAAAGGTCGTAGCTTGCCATACCTCTACTATAGAAACAAATTTTAGTAAATGATTTCGATATGTAACTAAGTAATAGTAAAAATTCGAAGCGCTGAAGCGTAACACAAGAAAGACAGAAAAAAAAAGTCTATTTAAACGATCATAAATCATTAAATTTAAATTGTTTTAAAATTTTATTTTTAAAATATAAGCGAAACAAAAATTGCCTAGAGGAAGAATTATAATCAAAGTTAGTTTAACAACCCCCCTACGAACTTCCAACGAAATCGTTGAATAGAGAAGTTATGGAGGTCGACAATGATTGTTGACAACAATCTGTCAAAATGAAGTCGATTGAGGTTAAGGAACGACCTCCGTTATTCAATTAGTTATGCAGTTTTGACATCTTTGGCGGTGCTGACACGTTTGATGTACTAATTATAGCGACTATTAGATGATTCACCGAGCGTAAAAGACGAAGCAGACCTCGTTTTTCTATACAAGTTTTTTTTATATTATTTTAAAGAAGACATCGAGTGCGTCTTTATAGAAAATAAAATGGAATATTTAAAGTAATAACATCGAGTAGAACTTTAAGATTTTTATCTGGTTAAGTTAGTTTTTTTTTTATTTCTTTTTAAAATACATAAGTTAAAATGTCTGTTGAAGACACGTAGACTACTCCGAGTTAGAGTGAGGGAGCCGCTTCCATTTAAACCCATATATTCCTGTACAAATGGCTTTAGTGGTGCAGCATGCCGTATCTCCAGCCATCAAGTACTTCTTGACGACCCGAGACTGGCTTTTACGGTTTGTCTCGAACATTTTTCTAGCTTTGTGACTTATGTTCCTAAAGATTGTGGGATAATTCTTGCGAATTGTGTTGCAACTGTCGCTTGCCACTTCTGCCAAAAGGAACGTGAATTATTGGAACAAAAAAGGGCTACAAATCTGCGAGCTTAATTCCCATGTGTCACTTGTATTTTCTTTGTTTATTTACCACAAGTAACCTATCTTCTTCACCTGTTTATGCGTTAATTTTCAACACAATGTGAAATACTAGTCGAGACACGTAAAAGTATAAAAACAGCAGAAAAGTCCATAAAACAGTGTAAGTCTGACATAAATTAAGTCCTGTAAAAAATTATCTTGGCTTAAGGCCTTTGCTTTTAGTTTACCCGTAAATTCTAAAGTGTATTTGTTAATCTTGAGAAGAGAAGATAATTATTATAAACTTACAGATTTCATAATAAATTGCAAAATTGGCATTTTCTCTATGTTGAATTTTTTTCCTTTATAATACTGTATAAAGTATATCATCAGTTGAAAATAATAAAAAAAAATGAAGATGATTTACTTCTTAAAGCATTGAAATACTTTAGGAATAGTTTTAAAATGTTAAGATCTATTTTATATAAGAAGGGAGGAGGATGGGGAAAAAAAAACATTCAGAAATGTCATTAGAGGATAAAAGAAGTTTTAAGCAAAATGAATTACACAATTTAACGCTTTTAAACAAAACATTTCTAATGTTTAAGCTCAAAGGCCAGTCTCTTGACATTTATTTACAAGAGTTGGATAACAGATGATGCTGGCCAATAGTGGAAGACAATGTAGAAGGAAAGAAAAGGAAAAGAGAAAAAAAAATGTTAAGAAAAAAGAAAACAAGCAACTGGTTTTTGGCCTTCCATTCTCCTATGGAGCTTTCATTAAATTAAACAGTCAAGAGATGCTGGAGAGGTTAGAATCTTGTCTTCCAGATTGCGCCAATCCTCGTTAGAAGCCATCGACAAATCACCTAACACTTCTTTTTTAAGCATTGTTTTTTATCTTATCTTTTCGCCTTCCCTAATCGAAACCAATTAACCTAGTTTTATAGCTGAATGTGAATGTTTTGTTCGAAATCTTTAATTTTTTTTTCTCCCTCTCTCCCCAATTCTTTTCGTCTCTATAACTTCCTTTAATCTGATTAATACTTCTAACAATAGCAATCTGCTACAAGCATAGAGAATTTAATTCGGAATAAATTAATTTTTAATTACTAATATAAAAGTCTTTATTCTAGCAGATAAAAGGGAATATTAATGACGAAGCCAAATGTTCAATCGACTCTTAACCTGATCAATGTCATCTAGATATATACACATAAAAAAACCGGCTGTAAAATCTATCTGCAGCATATCGCACTTATCTGAGAAGTACTGAAAAATAGCTGAAATTTCATCAGTCATTTGGTTATCAAACAAACTTTAACTCCATTGAAAGACAGAAAATCGTCGTTTGAAATCCATGCAAATTGAATGGGCGGAGAAAAATGAAAATCAATGACAGATAAAAACACTTCTTTTTCTTACATTTTATTGAAATTTGTGAAGAATCGTATCGATTATTATACAAATTTTTATTTATACGTCTACCTAACCTTTAATGATACTAAATTCTTCTTTGTTCGGTTATATATATAAAAAAAAGGCTTTAAATTTATGCAAACTTTATGCAGAAAATACTTTAATACTTGTTAGATAGAAAATTTGGTCTTCCTTTAATATTAGCAATCTGTATAACTGCGAATACTCGGTGATTATCGGAATACACTACACAGATCCAGAAATCCTTCCCCAGAGCACGTTTTAGAATTCCTGCAGTACGTCAACTGACTTAGCTGAGTGCACCCTCATGCCATTCGTAGCTCGTAATTCAACCGCAGACAGCCACAGTTCAGTTGGACCAAGTCATTAGAGCAGGCTTTCATGTTTGCCGCCTAACGTCCATTAGCAATGCCCCACATGGCCACAACTTCAAGACTAGCCCACTCCCACGATTCTGTCGAAAGCCTGGAAAGTGTCTGTGAGATAAGACCCTTTACGAGAATACATATACCGCCTGAGTACATATAATAAATTAATAACGGAGTAAATCTTAAGTACAACTATTTTTGTTCATTGTATACATATATTATATATTATTACATCGCGCGAGTACGTATTATGCGCACTCCCTTATAACGAGATAATAATAATAAGGTTTTTATATAAGACATCTATTATCAGAAAAATGAGAAAAAATAATTTTTCCATAGAAAAAAAAAAAAGTGGGTACAGAATGTGCGGAGAAGTTTAGATGGCTCATCAATCTTGTAGAAGAGACACCATTTTATTTTTTTACGAGGTGCAATTTTACTTGGAGCTTTATAGCCTTACGGAAGATGGGGAGCTGCATGCAAATCAAATTGACAAATGCCAAAAATATCCAGATAACGGCGGTATATACTTAATTATTATAACAGAATAATCAAGTGTCAATAACTTTACAAGCTATTAAAATAAAATATATAGGCCTATATGTTAAATTTATCTATTTATAACGCTTAAATTTTTAAAATAATTTGATCTATTTATTCATTTTAAATTCACTTTAATACAATGTAAATTAGATTAATTAAATGTAGATAATTCAACAATATCCAAGAGCAGTTGGATCGTGTGTATGCGGTTAATTCAATAGTATCCAAGCATGGTTTAGAATATATACAAGCATCTATCTATTCGAGCATACTTAAGCGGTAGTACGTGAGAAATTTATCATTATGCAAGCATAAGACTACTATAATAATTAATATTTAAGCTTATTAAAATATTTAAACGTGAGTTACTTATATGATTTACATTACATTAATAGAATAGTACGAGTAAGTTAACCATACTTCCCAGTTTATATTTCTCTTGTTTTTAGTCTTGAAAATCACTCTAATTTATCCACTTCACAATATCTAAACATAAGAGCCATTTTTAATGATAATCTAAGCATTAAAATCACTTTAATATTCAATCTTATAAACTTACTTAAGTGGATTTTCAAACATCAAAAACCCTTCAAACTAAATCTGAATTGAACTTAATAATAAATAGATAAAACTCTTTAACAAATATTCGATTTTATCATAAAATCTTTTTAATAATATATTCAAATAGAAATGTGTTTGAACAGCATGAAAGCTCAAAAACATCTGTTAAATTCATGACCTTAATAACATTTAAAAACATAAAATAAAAATAATATATATTTAAATAAATATAATATAAATCTACCCGAACGTTTTAAGAGAAAATAAAAGTACGAATTGAGAAGATTTAAGCTTGAAAAATCGAACAATATCCAATCATAATTACACTTATATGATCGATTCTATCTCTAATACGTGATAAGTCGATATTTATGTAAGGATTTTTTAAATATTTTTTATATAATAATAATTTCGAATCATTCGATATTAAAAATTGTTCTATATAAACATATAATTTTATTAAAATACAATACAAGACATGTAATAATAAAATAGCATAAAATTATGATTGTTTAACGTTTGAATTACTGTATTTATAAGTTCCTTTATAGTATTGCCGTTCACATTCATATATCATAGTCTCATCATAACAGATGAGTTGCGTGTTTAAATGTGATGGACAAAATATTGAACTGCTACTGTTTACCATATCGTGCAACCCATTTTAAGACTTTGCAATCA